CAGCTCGTTGTTGAGAAATGACCGAAAATGTAAAATCCTTTATTAAGGATGATAAACTTTTAAGTTTATAGTATTTTATTTTTTTATAAAACATATTTATAAACAATACTAATACTAAATATTTATATTAGACTTGGTTATTTCGCTCTTGTTTCTCTCTTGCCAACCGATCATTACGGGTTCGTGTTTGTACCCAATTAATCATACGTTGTTTATCCCATGTATTTTCAGAGTGATTGTTTTCTACATTCCAATTATTCAACTGTTGAATATGTTGAATAGCATTATTAATATTTTCTTCACTTTTTTTTTTGTTTCTATTATTAATTTTAAACGGTCTTATTATCGTCTAATTTATATGAAAAACTGCGACTAAAAGCGGTTCGTTCGTATTTCCATTTTTATTTTTTTTATTTTTTAAGAGTAGTTTATTATTTTCTTATTAAATAAATCAATGACGGTCCTGACTATATATAGACAACAACTGTGAAGACAGTGAAGTTAGAAAAGATTATACAGTTAAACTTTATTTTATATTAAATTATTAAATTAATAAAGTAATATTCGAAAATATTCATATAAAATTTTAAATTTTATATGTTCCACACTATAATTAATTTACTAATATATTAATTAACAGCTTAAAATAAAAAAAAATGTAGAAAATATATAGAACTCGAAAGAGAAGGCAAAAAAATTAAAACTTTAATGTGAAAGTGCTTAACATGAATAACTTATTTATAAGAAAAATCCATCTTTTTAAGCTTTAAATTTAACTTATTATAATAAACCTTTGAGGCTGGAAACATATTCGATTGTTTGAAAGTTCAAAATATTGTTTTACAAAAAAATTAAATACAAACTAAATGATATAAATATATTCTTGATTAATTAATTCAAAATAGAGGACTAATTAGAGAAGTCGCGAGTATAAATTTCCTTTTCATTTGTCGGGTATGGAGGATATTGTCGGGATGATGGATACGAAGCTTATGGATAAGTGAATGCAATTGCTTAGTCGATGATTAAAATAAAAAAGTTGAGAACATTTGGAATAAGAAGTAAATATTGGTAAAGGTGAAAGATTAATAATATTAAATCATCAGTAAATGAGATGTATGTATTACAAACTTAGACAAAATTTGCCAAATATTCCCACAAATGAATGATACGTATATAAATTAAATATAGTATTTATTTGTTTATTTCCTATCTTTCCTTGTCGAGATTTCCATCACTCAAATTACCTGGTTTCATCTTCCTTTTCTTTCTTCAACTCACCACTTTCTTTCTCCAACTTGTCATTCAGCGCTTCCCTTTTTTTCTGTACGTCAATCCTCCAGTGACTTGTTCACTAACTCGTCTAATCCCTCTTCTTTCGACTTATTCAACTTTTCTTCAACATCTCCTTCCTTACAATG